CATGCTAGGCACGTTGCTGGGGGACACTCTAGCATCCGGTCTGAAAACTCTATGATACCATAGAGTTTTCATGCTGAATGCTAAAGTGTCCCCTGGCAACCTAGCATTTGGGTGACGGCAACCTCTGGGTGATGTCATCGTGCTGGGCATGTCGGCCTGAACCAAGCACTTTGGGGGTAGGGCTCCCCCCGCCGGCCGGATCCGGGGCAACGGGTAGGGGGCCCCTAGAGTGGGAAACCCCCTGCCCCCCTGGGGGATCTGGTAGCCCTATTAGGGCTGCCTGGCCTCCTGCTATTGCGGGAGGAAAATTAAACAACAATAACAACAATGTTGGCATTCCTTGTGGGACTACACTGCTTCCACCTAGAAGTGATGGAGGGTAACTCACTGGAAAATCTACAGCTCAGAGAGGTGGCAGGAAAAAAATAAAAATGCTGCAGACTTGTGTACTCATACATCACTTCTGGGTGCAACCTGGAAGTGACAATGGGTAGCTCTAGGACTCTAGGATGTTGTCTCCTCGCTGAACTTCCCACTGGTTGCCAGTCAAGGCAACCCTAGTGGCATTTCAAGTATTCCCACTTCATGTTGTAATGGGGATGAAGCCATGTCGCAGCACAGGCAGACAGAAAGTACTGCCTGGTTGGCTAAGCAATGCTGGAGCACATTCACTTACCACCCACACTTTACTGCAAAGCATGGTAGTAGAGGAACCACATCCACACATTGCCTAGATGCATGGGCAGCGGTTTGTGACTTCGTGAACCACAGGTGATGCAGAAGATGTCCACACATAGCAGAGAGGGAAAACAGGTGCTTTCCCCACTTTCCTTAACAACTCTCCCTACTCCCACTCCCATACAACCGGCAAACACTTTTAATTCCCTGCCTAAAGTTCAATGAGAAAGCCTCCCCCTTTTTTTGCGAGGGTAAGACGTTTGGCAGAAAAGGGGCCCCTATTCAGCTCTGCTCTAAAGCAAGCCAGGTAAATGTTTATACTTTTCAATGTACCAATAGGCCCTAGAAATGAATAAGAGTCCACTAGCATTTTAAAGACTAGCAACATTTGTTGCAGGGGACGAGCTTTCATGAGTCACTGCTCACTTCTTCGGATACAGCTAGATTAGAATATGAGTCCATCTGTCTTATATATTGAAAAGTCTACTTTCCAATATATAGGACAGTTGGGCTCCCATTCTAGTTGTATCTGAAGAAGTGAGCAGTGACTCACAAAAGCTCATCCCCTGCCACAGATTTTGTTAGTCTTTAAGGTGCTCCTGGACTCTTACTCTTTTCTACTGCTACAGGCAGACTAACACAGCGACCCATCTTGATCTGTCTCCAATAGGCCCTGTGATTTGATCTAAGGAAAGAAGGAGAAGGAACAACCAAAAATGTTAATAGCTTTGAGGTTTGTGGTTCGGGATCTGTAAATACCAAAACATTAGTCGATGCGTTTGCCATTGTGTGCTGAATAAGTACATCTCACTTTATCCTTAATATCACCTACGCTCCAAAAAGGGTGTGCGTGAAAACTGACATTAAGCATGTGCTTAAATTGTGGCTGATGAGAAAGAAAAGAAGGTAGTCAACAGAATGAGGTCATGTTTCAATTAACACTGATCACATCTAGAGGAATGAGAGGGACTTTCCCCCGACTTTACTGTGAACAGCCTTACAAACGGGGAAGCTTTTAGTGACAGGCCTACGTCAGATCAGGACCACTGCTGGATTGTGTTGCCATTCTGTTACCTCAGAAAGCAAACATGCCCAATTGTGCCAATTCCTAATAAAGGGCGGGCCTGAAAGTCCATGGCACTTGAAAAAGAGCTCTTGAACATTCCAGGAACAGAATAAAACTGGCTGTCAGCAACGGTGTCCTCTGAGCTTCTCTGCCCTCCGAGATTACCACTACAGGAACAATTCCTTCCTGTCAGCAGTGTGCTCAGGTGAGGGTACGGCCCGAAAAGACACTCTGTCATCAACACAAGAAATGGTCTGAAAGACGGTAAGTGAACTGTGGAGTCGTAAAATTAAAATACTAAAAATACCGTTTATCCCCCCAGAGCCACTTATCAGTATGCGCATTAAACCCTCACGGGAAACTTGTTTCAGTGGCTGATGCGCCAACTTCTGCCAATGAAACTGAGAAGGCATGGAAATGCTTAATGTTGCCTGGAAACGTACGCACTGCGTCCAGGACCTATAGCCAGAGTGCGGTGCTTAGGAGGCGTACAGAAGACTCATGAAGAACCCATTCACACAGCCCAACTTTTCTTCCATTGATCGTTACGCGTAAGAGGACGAGATGCAATCTTCGGGAGGCCTCTTGGTAACACCGATCCCCACACGGAAAAAAGTTCAGGAAACCATGTTCGTGTGAACTTACCTCATGCTACTGAGATGGGGGGGGGGATGTAACAACAGAGAGGGTAAAGGATCCAAGCCAAGGGTTCTTCAATTTGGTTATGAGTTTAACTAATTTTTAACCCACTGTTCCTCTAAGGAACTCAGGATGGCATAACTGATTCGTTTGTATTGAACTTCCTCCTTTAATCACTCACTTTCCACTGCTATTATAACAGAGAAAACACATAAAACAGATTGTTGGGCTTGCGAGCATCTTATTCTCCTCTTAGGTTCTGGGCTTAACGGGATCGGGGAAAAGGGACGGCACACGAATGTAACATGCTTTAAGCTGTGGCTGAGCATAAGGTAGGCTGTATTCTACCAACCACTTTCTAATGGATCTGCTAGTTTTGAGGATCCTTGACAACCATGCTGAAATAGGTGGATCTTATGTTCTTAATTATGAAGACATACCCCCTCTGATAGGAGCTGCGGTGGCTCAAGTGGTTAAGATGCTGAACTGCAGGCTGTGGAAGGTCAGTAGTTCAGCGGTTCAAGACCCGGGTGCCGCAAGACAGGGTGAGCTCCTCTCTCTAGTTCCAGCTCCTGCCAACCTAGCAGTTCGAAAGCAAGAAATTGCAAGTAGATAAATAGGGACCACTTCGGTGGGAAGGTAACAGCGTTCCGTGCGCCTTGGTGTTTAGTCATGCCGGCCACATGACCACGGAAAGGTCTTCGGACAGCGCTGGCTCTTCAGCTTTGAAACGGAGATGAGCACCGCAACCCTAGAGTCAGATTCAACTGGCTTTCGAGCAAGGGAGGATCTTATGTTCTTAATTATGAAGACATAACCCCTCTGAACCACTTAAGCATTGGTTAGTTACAAATGGATCCTCTGAACCACTTAAGCACTGGTTAGTTACGAATGGACGGATAAAGAGATGCTGAGTATGCCGTCTTAAGAACGAAAGAAGAGTCCCACTGGATCAGAACAATAGTCTATCTAGTCCAGCATCCTGTCTCACACAGTGGGCAACCAGTTCCTCTGGATGGCCAACAACAGGGCAGAGAGGCTGAGGCCTTCCCTTGATGTTCCCTCCTGGCTCTGTGGTTCAGAGGTTTATAAGAACATAAGAAGAGCCCTGCTGGATCAGACCAGTGGTCCATTTAGTCCAGCATCCCGTCTCACACAGTGGGCAACCAGTCCCTCTGGAGGGCCAGCATCACGCCATAGAGGCTGAGGCCTTCCCATGACCTTGCCTCCTGGCGCCGGGATTCAGAGGATAACTGCCTCTGAATGTGGAGGCCCCCCCAGTCACCAAAACTAGTAGCCGCTGATAGACTTATCCTCTATGAATCGATCTAATCCTCTTTTAAAGCTGCTTATTCCTGTGTCCATCACTACATCCTCTGGCAGCGAATTCCACATTTTAATCACTCTCTGCGTAAAGTAGTATTTCCCTTTGTCCATCCTGAACCCACTGCCCGTCACCTTCACTGGGTGCCCTTGAGTTCTAGTATTTCGGGAGAGAGAGAAAAAGTTCTCTTTGTCAACCCGCTCTACCTCATGCATAATTTTATAAACCTCTATCATGCCCCCCCCTCCTTAGTTGTCTCTTTCCTCAACTGAAGAGTCCCAGACTCCTCGGTCGTTCCTCAAAGGGAAGGCACTCCAACTTCCCAATCAACCTTGGTTGCCCCTCCTCTGTACTTTTCCCAGCTCTGCAATGTCCTTTTTTCAGGCAAGGTGACCAGAACTGTACACGGTATTCCAAATGAGGCAGCACAAATGAGTCTTGCTTTTGGTAATGATCAAAACGCTTCAGTATGCCACAGGGGTCATAATATGAAAAAAGAGAAGAGGCGAGCAAACAAGATAGGTCAGCCCACACTGCTTTAAAACTCACATGGAAGGGATCCACCTTGTAAAAATGGATCGTTCAGCCTTATAACCATTTAAAATCAGTGCTGATAATCAACACAAAGAAGGGGAAAATCCTCTGGGAATTACCATGAGAGGCTGCAATAGACAAGCAGACAAGCCTTCGACAACAGGCAAGCAGAGGTCTCCATGACGGCCCCAAAAGGTCTACTTCCCTCTTACAAAACCACACCTTTTGCTTTTAATATTAATACGTTAAATACCCTCTATCCTGAACAACAGGTACACACATGTGAGGATAGATAACGGCAGGGCTCTTTTTGTAGAAGAAGCCCAGCAGGAACTCATTAGCATAATAGGCCACACCCAACAGCAGAAACTCATTAGCCTATTAAGCCACACCCTGACAGCACAGCTCATTAGCACATTAGGCCGCACCCCCATGTTACCAGAAGTCTGGTCATCCAGCCACACCCACCTTTTGCTTCTTATTCTGTTTACCTTGTTTGTTGTCAAAACCCAGGGCTTTTTTGGTAGCAGGAACTCCTTTGCATGTTAGGCCACACACCCCTAATGTAGCCAATCCTAATGAGTTTCTGCTGTTGGGCGTGGCCTATTATGCTAATGAGTTCCTGCCGGGCGTAGCCAACTTGGGAGCCAGCCGGAACTCCGTTCCTGTGCGTTCCTGCTCAAAAATAGCCCTGGATAACGGGCACATCTCTTGGAAGCTCCCCCATAGAGCCAGCAGTGCTTTTTAACCCTGTCCTACCTGCATATAGCCAGTCACTGAGTCCATTGAAAATAACTTTGTCTTTCCCGGTGGAGACCAGACGGATGGCTTGTTTCCCCACCTTGGCACAGTAGTAGATGTTGTTCTCGAAGATAAATATCTACACAGAAACACGAGAAAGAATCCTTTTGTCATTATTATTGACAGATAATGGTCTTCAGCAAAGAATTTAATGGTCATTATCACCACACTCATCTTCTGGCGGGCAGGAATGGCCAGGAGTCAGGGCCCGGCTCTCTACATTCCCCACACTGATTTCAGCCCTCAAAGGGCATGCACCCAGATGCCAACACAACTGGCCACCTCTTTGAGCAATCAGTCTCAGCGTGCAGACCGGAGGGATGAGGATCTCTGTGGAAGGTGAATTGTACAAGGGTGCAGCCCTGATTTAGATTGGGGCCACAGGGGAAAGGGAAAGGAGAGTTAACCCTTCAACTGTCTTCCCAGTTAAATTCATTCGAACTAAGTTCAGCATGCTGTTTTGGAGGGGGTTTTTGCTGTCAGGTTACAGCTGTCTCACAGCCACCTTGCAGGGGTTTCACGGTTCAGAGGAGATGTGCCACTGCCCGCCTCTGCATGGCAACCTTCGTGGTCTCCCACCCAGGTGCTGAACAAGGCTGACACTCCTTAGCTTCTGAGATCTGACGAGATCAGGGTTGCCTGGGCTATCGAGGTCAGAGCCGATGCTCCCTCTAAGCTGTGGCGTCTTGTGAGCAAAAATTCTACTTTGTGAGCTACTGGCATTAAAGTGGTGAGCGAGTGATTTGGCTGCTGCATCAATTCGTTTGCCCTGGAGCCATCCCTCCTGAGCTAAGACAAAAATGTGTGAGCCAGACGAAGAGAAGAAGAGAAGAGATGGGATTTATACCCCGCCCTTCACTTGGAGTCTCAGAGCGGCTTACAAACTCCTTTCCCTTCCCCTCCCCACAACAGACACCCTGTGAGGTGGGTGGGGCTGAGAGAGCTCTGACACAAACTGCTCTTTCAGGTACAGCTGTGCCAGAGCTTGTGACTGACCCAAGGTCACATCAGCAGGTGCAAGTGGAGGAGTGGGGAATCAAACCCGGTCCTCCCAGATTAGAGTCCGTGCTCCTAACCACTACACCAAAGAAGATGCTAGTGATGCAATAGTGCAAGGGCTGCAGCAATACACACCACTTCACTATCATTTTGAACAAAATCACAATGCGCACACAGAGCAATGGAATGTGCAAACGTCTTGCATGGTTGCATTTGTGTTTGAAATTGTGTCAGAAGAAATACCTTGGGTTATACCTCACACGTGCAGAAACAATAACCAGGGCTACCCTCACTTTCACTTAGCACAAGGAGATGGCCAGTTTGGCCAGGGATCCTGGAGGGTCCCCCCCCCCTCTTCTGGGCATAGAGCAGGGGTCACTGGGGGGGTGGAGAGGGAGGTATTTGTGAATTTCCTGGATTGTGTAGGGGGATGGACTAGATGACCCTGAAGATCCCTTCCAACTCTATGATTCTGTGATGAGGAATCGTCTTGCATTTCTCCTAGGACTGCTGTGCATGCAGAAATCTTCTGTAGGATCCAACCTACTAGATGGAGAGGCTTAGGAAGCTGACTGGTCCTGCTCTGACCACACCAACCCCCTGAAGTTGCTCATTTCTATGCCAGTAGCACAGTTACGCCCATCGGCAGTAGCAGGATCTAGCACTGGTGCATATCCAAATGTGCTGGAGTGTTTTTGGGTATACAGCAGCATAAGGCCAACCAAAGCCAACTGGAGCTGTGGTTTAGGATTGTGCTGTGATATGTACATTTTGGCTCAGAAAATATAAAAAAAGAACATTTATATAGCAGTCTGACTTCTGTATGTTTGTAATAATCTGTTTCTTGGTAGCTGGTTTTTTTAGGCCTGCATATTAAAATTCTCTTTAAGAGTTTTATACTGTATATTTTTTAAAAAACTTTTTAAAATTCAACCTATTCTACTTTCTCCCCCACCCGTATCTTCTTATTGATCTATTAATTTTATGGTCTTAATTTTTTAAATTGCAAGTTTTGGGGTTTTTTTAAGAAAAAGAAAATTGCATTTCATGCATATAGTAACAGAACAAAGTTAGAGGTCCAGGGGCACCTTTAAGACCAATAAAGTTTTATTCAAGGTGTGAGCTTTCGTCTGCACGCACACACACTTCCTCAGACAATGGAATGGAATCATTCTTGGTTTCTAGTTTGTCATCTGTTTGGGTTCAACTGGGGGGGGGGAAGCAACATAGGTAATAAATATGTCAGAATTGGAGACTGATGTATCCTAATCTCTGGTTCTGACATATTTATTACCTATGTTCAGAGGTCATTTCGGGGGGGGGAATGCGGGGGAACGCAGTTCCCCCGGGTGAGGTACAGGGGGCGGGGCACATGATGAAGCCCC